GCTGCTGCTGCTGGTGATGCAGCGGCAGCCCCGAGCGCCGCATCCACATTTCCCAGGCGCCAGCATCGTCGCCAACAGCAGCAGCAGCAGCAGCAACTGCTGTCTGTGCTGCTGCCACAGACAAGTCATCAGCAGCACGAGAAACAGCCGATGAAGAACGCCGAGTTGCTGCCAACGGCTCCCCAAGTCCATAACGGCCTTCCTCTGGGTTTGCTGCAGCAAGCGGCGCCCCGGGGGCCCCGCCCCATCCCAGGGGGTGGGGCTGCTGCTGCATGCGCAGGGATGCCACAGACAGTCACAGCAGCAGGGGCTGGTGCATGCAGCAACAGCAGCAGCAGACACGACAGCAGCGGAAACGAGTGCATGCATGCAACAGCAGCAACAGCAGCAAGCTTAACAACGGAAGTGATAACTGCGTGATTAAAATGCCTACCTCCCAGAGCCGGAAAGTCGATGGGGCTGCAGCAGGAGCCACAGCTGCTGCTGTGGTTGGCTGCCTGCGTCGTTGCTGTTGCTGCTGCTGTTGCTGCTGCTGTTGCTGCCTCTGCTGCATCAGGCGTTCCCGCTGGGTCTGCTGCTGCTGCTGGATGAGCCTTTGGCGTATGCCCTGCAAGTCCGGCAAAGTTGTGAAGGGCTGGGGGCCCCCCGCGGGGTAAATGAGCCCGAAAGGCAGCCAGGGAAGGTGGGGCCCCCACCTCATTAAAAGGTCATCAGCAAAGTAGTTACGCTGCCACCAAGCATGCATGTCTTTGCTGCTGAAGGGGCCCCTCTGGGTCCCGCTGGGGTCTTTGTAGTACCAGATGCTGCTGTTAACGTCTACCCGTTCCACTGACACGGGAGCTGGGCTCTCTACGGGGGCCCCCACTGCCTTTTGCTGTCCCTGGGGGGCCCCCAAAGGGGGCCCCACCAACAGGTTCTGCATGTCGAACTCCCGCTGCTGCTGCTGCTGCTGCTGCTGCAGCGCAACTGCGAACAGGTCTACACCCGAAGCGCGGCTGCCAAGGGGCCCAGAGCCGATTGGCGGCCGCTGGGGAGGCCC